GTAGTCGATTGTATTCAGAAGTCGATCGTCATGTCTGATGGATAGTCGTTAGACTACCTAGATAATCGTTGTGATTGTTATCAAATGCCCATTGCGGCTTTACCAATGAGCATCAGCAATGTCAAAGATCAACCGAAGTCACAGTGGAGTTAAAATTGCACGTGCGATTAGAACCATAAGACATGAGTGAGCCTCAGTGAGACCAGCAGGTTGCTTTTCTGTTTGAATCATGAACCACATTGCAAACGGATCTACCAGCAATTTGTAGAGAGAACAACCTCTCGGGAGCTTCCAAACGACGGCAACTGCGGCCGCGCTCCTCGGGTATGGAGGGCAGGAGAGAGCATGTTCCGGCAAGGATATTTAGCCGAGTGAATACGGCAAAACGCAATGACCAGTGACGTCACTAGTTCGGAGTCACGAGCTCCGATTCAGATGTGCTCGAAGACATTTAAAGAAACCCAAAAACCAACCGGACCGTCGTACTTCCTTGAATGAAGAATCCGCGCAAGTCGATTCAACCCGGTCAAACCGTGGCCAAACAGTCATCACCGTCACCTATTGCATGTGGACAGTGTCCACTGCACACCAAAGATTCTAGTTCGATCCCGCCACCCGGCATTATTCAAACTCGGAATAGATCATTGAACAAGTCGTCTACACAGTTACTGTGGTACTGTGTCACAGTATCACAGCCCAATGAAACATGCTATCTAAGGACCCCCGCCCTCCCATGGCGACTCGCCGTGCCTGAGTACGTAAGCAGAGAGAACTCCCTAAGGCAACAGTTTCGCACCAGGGCGTCGTGTGCTGCTCTGTGGTCGACATGCGGACCGATTAGCCGAACGGGGACGTCCACTGGTCATCTCGGCATATCTGATGAGTAGTAGAGCTCAGACGTTCATTCGCTATCGCAAACTCACGAAAAGTAGACGCTAGTGTTAGGAACGTAGTCATTCTCGTCGAGACCTGGCCACAAACCACGAGCAAATACTCATTGTTATTCGTCCCTACCACTTTGTATGGCGCTGAGCACCTCATTATTCATCGCTTGCGAAGGGTCCACTTCGCCAGCCCGGGTGAGTCGCTCAGTAGACAACAGATCAGTCTGCAATATACCATCGCTGCGGAATCTAAGCGACAACGGCAGTGCCGTTACGGCACAGGATGAGTAACGCAACTGTAGCATTCACCTTGGGTCCGCTGAATGCTGCCGTGCGACCCGGGAAAACTCTGCCGCTGGGCGTTCGAGGCCAAGGGCCGATCCAGGACGTCTAGCTTGAGCATTCCCAGCTAGTCCAATATGGCTGATCTCCCATGCATCCTCTACTTGGTCGTACTGTGCGCGGTCGGCTATTCTCTGGTACCTGAGGGGGACATCACTCGGGCAACCTGCGATGATCGGATCTGTTCGTCGCGACACTGTTGAGGAGACTCACTCCTCAGGAGGTATGAAGTAGTCGATCACAAGAGACTTCAGCTTGAGCTCTTTGCTCAAGGCTCGGATGGATTCCAGCATATCTTCTCTTTCTCGTTGGAATTCTCTGAAGTAAACATTAGTCGTAGAATCCACTACTGAGTCTACCAAAAGCCTTTTGGCAAAAGGCCTTACCTCTGCAAGTCATCAACCTCCGCACTGGCGTTCTTGTACTTATGCCAGAGTTTCTCAAGCTGGAGACGAGACATCACATATCATCAAGTCATTATTGTCAACGCATGAAACCGCATACGTCACGATAAAACATACGTCCTACTTTGCTCGTCAGTTTGACGACTTGGCCACCCTTGGCTTCGTACTTCTCAGCTAGAAGGAGACGTTCCTCTTCCTGCTCTTTAACCTAGAACACACAATACCACAGACCGAGTACTCTCGGAGAGCGATCTTCAGACGCCGAACCTTGGCTCGTATTCGCTCCTCCTCTTCTTTCTTCTTTGTAGAGCCCTCTTCGCTTTTCATTCCTTTTCCTGGACTGCAGCCTGCTGGAT